TCACATGTGCTAGGTGAGCGTTCTGCTGAGCTACAACCTTAGCCTATAAAGCATAAATGAAAAAAAAATTATTCTAATTTGTTGTATATGACAGCAGAATGCAATTCAATTCATATTACACAAATAGAGCACAATTTTTCATATCTCGGGTTGAACACAAAGTAGAGACACACTATTTATGGTTTTATACATGTACTTAGAGTAATGATGTCCCTCTCATTCTACTGTCTTCCCTACCCCCATGCCCCGTCCCTCCCCTTTGCCCTATCTAAAGTTCATCTATTCCTTCTATGCTCCACCCACATTGCCATTATGAATCAGCATATATCAGAGAAAACATTTGGCATTTGGTTTTTTGGGATTGGCTTACTTCACTTAGCATTATATTCTCCAACTCCATCCATTTACTTGCAAATGCCCAGATTTTATTCTTTTTTAATGCTGAGTAATATTCCATTGTGTATATATATCACATTTTCTTTACCCATTCATCTATTGAAGGGTATCTAGATTGGACCCACAATTTAGGTATTGTGAATTGTGCTGCTATAAACATTGAGGTGGCTGTGTCCCTGTAGTACACTGTAGTTAAGTTTTTTGGGTATAAAGTGAGGAGTGGGATAGCTGGGTCAAATGGTGGTTCCATTCCCCGTTTTCCAAGGAATCTGCGTACTCCAGATTGCTTGCACCAATTTGCAGTCAAATCATAATTTTTTAATGGGAGTTTTAGATTAAAAATTTAGCAAAGTTTCTGTAGAATCATCCAGATTGACTGAGTTATATACTGACTTGTGTAGCTGCTCCCTTTCCCTTGTTATTCTGGTCATCATTCAAAGTTCTGCCCATTAACATTCATTGATATGTATTTAACTTCTCTATTGGGAGCTTGTGAAAGGCAGAAGTAGTAGTTCACATTTCATAGTATATCTCATTGCTGTATTCTGAGGACATAATAATTACCACTAAATAAGTGAATGAATTAATAGCAAATGCTCAGTAAATAGTTTTTATGTGTGATGTGTTAGGCTTTATGTCTTTTTCTGCTTTCCAAACATTTGGTTTTAAGAAGTGATTATTATAAAAAATGGGAGCTCATAACCCACTTGAATCAAATTGTGAAATATGATATATCAAGAACTATGTAATGTTATGAACAGCCAACAATAAAAAATTAAAAAAAAAAAAAGAAGTGATTATTATAGTTTTAGAGACTGGAGAGTTTATGTAATTTGCCTGAGGAGATGAAAGTTAGAGCATGAAAGATTTTTTCTTTTGGAGAGTTATTTTTATTTTGAATAAGAAATTTCTGTCTCCCCCTAATCCCTCCTGTTTTTGTGTTAGGGATTGAACTCAATGTTGCTTAACCACTGAGTCACATCCTCAACCCTTTTATATTTTATTTTTTAAATTTTGAGACAGGGTCTTACTAAATTACTGAGGCTGGCTTCGAACCTTGATCCTCCTGCCTCTGGGATTATAGGTGTGAGCCACCACACCTAGCTAGAAGTATATCTCTTAATAGAATAAGTAAAATAGTATGAAAGATATAAAGGAAGAGGTCTCATTTTCACTGATAAACCTATTTCCTTTCTCTTTTGTCCTGTTTCTTATAAGTAATCTCTCTTATTTATCTATTTATTTATTTTTTGTGGTGCTGGGGATTGAACCCAGGGCCTTGAGCATGTGAGGCAAGCACTCTACTAACTGAGCTATATCCCCAACCCCCAAGTAATCTCTTTTTATCAGTTTCTTGTGACTTTTCCCGTGGTTCTTTATGAAGGAACAAAGAAAAATATGGGTTTTGTTTTCGGTGCTGGATATTGAACTCAGGGCTTTATATATACTAGGCATGAGTTCTGCCGCAGAGCTGTACCTGCAGCCCCTATATGTTCTTTGTTGTTGTTGTTGTTTGTACTTTTGTTTGTATTGAACCCAGGGGCACTTTACCACTGAGCCATATCATCAGTCCTTTTTATTTTTAATTTTGAGACAGGATCTTGCTAAGTTGCTGAAAGATCTTGCCAAGGTTGCTGAGGGATTGCCTTGAACTTGCTATCCTCCTGCCTCAGCCTCCTGAGTCAGTGGGATTTTAGGCAAGTGCCACTATACCAAGCCTTATATATTACTATTTTTGCCTTTTTCTATATAAAAAGTTTCATACTACATTTTTTTAACTTGTACTTTTTATTTTACGTTCACTTTAAAAAAATAGACTTTAGTTTTTAGACAGGTGTAGATTTACAGCAAAATATGTCAGAAAGTACAGAATTCTTGTGCATTCCCCCGTCTCTGATTTGGATATGAGGTATCCCCCAAAAGCTCATGTTAGTGCAGGAATGTTCAGAGGTGAAATGATCAGATTATGAGAGCTGTGACCTAATCAGTGGATTAACTCTTGATGGACTAATGATTACTGGGTGGTGGGATGTAGCTAGAAGAATTAGGTCATTGGGGCGGGGTGATTGTGCTCTTGGGAATTTTTTGGGAATTCTTGTCCCCAGCTCTCTTTCTTTGCTTCCTGGCTGCTATGAGCTGAACAGCTTTCCTTCCCATTCCCTTCTGCCATGATGTTCTGCCTTATCTCAGGCCTAGAAAATGGAGTCAGCTGAACATGGACTGAACTTCTGAGACTATGAGCCCCCCAAAACTTTTTTTCTTCTAATTAGGTCTTGTCAGATATTTTGGTCACAGTGATATCACTGGTTATCTGTGACGAGTCCTACTTCTCCACATGTTGAAATTTGAACATTAGAGAAGCACGCCAAGGCAAGCATATGAAGCAGGATTTTTTTCAAAAGGGGTAACATAGACTTGGAGAAGGGGGCCATAGCTGGTATCATGGTATCCCAAGAAGCAAGGTGTTCTGCCCTTTTTATATGTCCTAGGCTTCCTTTGTTCTCCTGCCTTTCCCCTCTTATCTTTCTCCTTCCTGCATACGTGACTAGGCCCAGGAATGTTCAGTGGGATGGCCAAAAGGTGGGAAATAGGTGGGCTGAAGGGGGAAGGGCAGGATGGAGTAGACAAGGACATATTAACAACCTTATAGCTCCCTGTAGGGAGGGGAAATTTCTGGGATGGTTACCTTGGCAACAGGTTGGAGCAGGGGCAGGTTCTTGATAAGATCCCTCAGGGGACAGTCTGATCCCTTAGGGGACAGTCTCCAACTTCCCAGACTCACTCAAAATTGGCCTCCTTGACCCGACTCGATTTACCTATTTACACTGACTGCCTGTCTAATTCTGGCTTCAACCACAGTGTAAGAATGATTTTACACAGTCCTCCTGCTTTTCTATCAATATCCCACATTACAATAGTGTATTTGTTACAATCAGTGAGCCTACATTGACACATCACTCATAGTTCATAATTTACATTAGAACTCACTGCTAGTGTTGTACATTCGCTGGCTTTGACAAAAGTATAGTGTTAGTTCCACCATTATGGTATCATAGGGTGATTTCAGTACACTAAAAATTCTCTGCTTTACCTATTTGTTCCTCCCTCCCTCTAACCCTTGGCAAAATAAACTTTTTATTTTCTCCATAGTTTAGCCTTTTCTAGAAGCCATATAGTTGAAACTGTAGAGTAGAAAACATTTTTTAGATTGCCTTTTTTTCATTTACTAATATGAATTGAAGCTTCCATGTCTTTTTTTTCTTGTTTTCATGTCTTTTCTTGACTTGATAGCTCATTTATTTTTTTTTATTACTGAATGATATTCTATTGTCTAGATGTACCACAATTTATCCTTTCACCTTCTGAAGGGTATCTTGGTTGCTTCCAAGTTTTGGCAGTATTGTATAAAGCTGCCATAAATATCTTTTTGCAGGTTTTTGTGTGTATATAAATTTTCAACTCATTTGGGTAAATACCAACGAACTTGATTGCTAGCTTGATGGAATGGTAAGAGTATATTTCTGATTGTGTCAAACTGAGCCAGGCAAGTTGGTGCATGACTATAATCCCAGCTACTCTGGAAGCTGAGGCAGGAGGATCACGAGTTTGAGGCCCACCGGGGACCCTGCCTCAAGATAAAATTTAAAATATCCAAAAAACAGAAAAAAGGGCTGGGGATGTAACTCAAAGGTAGAATGCTGTTGGGTTCAATCCCCAGTACTTTCCCTGCACCCCAGATTGCTTAATTGTCTCAAAATGACTTTGCAGTTTGTATTCCTACCAGGGTGAATGAGACTTTCTGTTCTTCCCTGCATTGTTCAACATTTGGTATTTACATGTGTTGTTAGATCTAATGTGTCCTGAACATCTTTTCTGATTAGCATATAGAGTACTTCTGCCTTTTTGAATATGGAAGGCTACTGTGGATGTGCTGTAGTTTATTTAGTTTGTCCTTTATTGATGGCCACTTGTTGTTTCTGATATTTTCCTTTGGTAACCAACATGCACTGACCTTCAGTTACTTCAGTTCCACGATTTAAAAGAAAAAAAAAAAGGGTTTTGGTGTTTAGCCTAGTGGTGAAGCACCCCTGGGTTCAATATCTAGTATCAAAAAAAGTAATTCGCATTTCTTTTTCTGTTGTCTATATTTTGAGGTTATGTTTTGGAACTGTTGAAATATTAGGAAGATTAATTCTTTGTGATATGAATTGCAAGTGTTTTTTGTTTATCCTTTGACTTCATAATAATGCCATGGGTTTGATTCTGGTTTGTCCACACTTTTTTTTTTTTTTTTTTTAATTTTCTGGTATTGCAGATTGAATCCAAGGATGCTCTACCACTGAGCTATACTCCCAGCCCTTTTTATTTTATTTTGAGGCAGGGTCTCAAACTTTAAATCCTCTTACCTCAGCCTCCTGAGTTGCTGGGATTACAGGTGTGGGCCACTGTGCTAGCTTACTTAATGCTCTAATCACTATCATATCATTGTGCTCTCTCAAATAATATATGTTCTATATTCCTGAAAAGATTTATTTATGCATAACTTTGACTTAATGCATCTAGCATTTAAAAACTCTTCTAATGATAACTTCTTCCTTCAATAGACACGGCATCAGCGAGGAGATACACATCCTCTAACTTTAGAAGAAATTTTGGATGAAACACAGCATTTAGATATTGGACTCAAGCAGAAACAATGGCTAATGACTGAGGTAAGAATAGTCTTTTTTTTTTTTTTAATATATTTTTCTTTTTAGTTGTAGATGGATACAATGACTTTATTTATTTTTATTGGTGCTGAGAATTGAACCCAGTGCCTTACACATGCTAGGCGAGCGCTGTACCCCTGAGCCATAACCCCAGCCTCAAGAATAGTCTTAAAAATATTATGAAAAAAATCAGTTGGTCCCAATGTCTTGGGAGACTGAGGCAAGGGGATCGCAAGTTCACACCAGCCTCAGCAATTTAGCGAGGCCCTAAACAACTTAGTGAGAATTTGTCTCAAAATAAAAAGGGATGGGAATGCGACTCAGTGGTTTATGGTTTAGCACCACTGAGTTCAATTCCTTGTAAAACCACTCCCCACATACACTAAAAAAGTTGATTACCAAGTGATGGTTGCTGTAAGTGTTATTTTGGTTGTTTTTGGCATTGCTAGGAATTGAACCCAGGGCCTTTCATATGCTAGGAAAGAGCTCTACCACTGAGCCATGACCATCTGATAATGCTTTTTAGTTTTCTCTTAAAATAAGTGTTTGTTTTATTTCTCTTAAAAGAGTCTTTGTTTTATTCACCAAACATCATATATATATGATCTGGCACTTTAGCCTCTTGAGTAGTTGGGATTACTGGTGCATGCCACCACCTCTGGTTAAGCATACATGTTTCTAAGTTGTTTGACTTGTTGATTTTCTTGTAATTTTTTGTAACTATTTGTTTAATTTTTTTTTTTTTTTTTTTTTTTTTGGTACTAGGGATTGAACCCAGGGATGCTTTACCACTGAGTTACATCCCCATTCTTTTTTATTTTTTATTTTGGGACAGGGTCTTGCTAAATTGCTGAGACTGATCTTGAACTTGCAATCTTCCTGCCTCAGCCTCCCAAGTCACTGGTATTGTAGGTGTGCCCCACTGTGTGTGATGTTTAAAAAATTTTTTTTCTTTAAATTTTTAGTTGTAGATAGACACAAGTCCTTTATTTAATTAATTAATTTTATATTTGTGTTGTGCTAAGGATCAAACCCAGTGCCTCACATGTGCTAGGAAGGTGCTCTACCACTGAACTATATCCCCAGCCCTTAAAAATTTTGAAGACTAGCAAAAGTTTTGAAGAAGTCAGTATACCAATTCTACTTTCATTTTTACAGAATAACTGGTTTATTTTGAATTGCTAAATTTATAATTTGTGTGCTTGTAAATTATATTTTTGTTTTGGGAAATTTAAAGCATTAGTACCATAGGGATAGCAAGATGCTTTGTACTACTACTATTACTATTATGGCTTGATATTTAAATTATTACCTCTAGAAAGTTACTTAGAAAGACGATTATGTATGAACATTGTGTATGAACATACATCCATCCTTTTGGGTAACTCTAGTACTGTTGATGGTGGTAATTTGGAAATGAATAGCACTTTGTATTATTTATTTTTATGGTGGTGGGAGATATGAGTAACATTTTAAACATTCAGATAGTTGCTTCTTTTGGGCTTATATATTAAATGACAACAAAGGAGACTACTTTCAAGGACCAGTAAGATTCTCAAAGACCAAATGTAAAATTCCTAAAATATAATTCAGTTAAATTTATTTTACAGCTCTTCATTTTCATAATATTTTTTAAAGATATTTATTTTTTAGTTATAGGTGGATACAATATCTTTATTTTATTTTTATGTGGTACTGAGGATCAAACCCAGTACCTCACGCATGCTAGATGAGCATTTTACCTCTGAGCCACAACTCCAGCCCCCTCATTTTCATAATATTAAATGAACCAGTTAATCACTGAAGTACTTGGTCTTTTAGAAGCTACTAGGCTATTACCAGAAGAATAACTGTCAAGATTTTTAGCCTCAAAGTATTTGATCTAAATCAGCTTGCATGAATGTTGCATAATGTAGTAGATATTAGTGGTATAGAATAATGGTAACCCACATTTAAAATTGCTGGTTTACATAATACGGAAATTTCATGGACTTGCCAACATAAAAGATTATTTTTATTATATTGTTATTTTATTCTCTCTCCTTTCTGCATTTCTTCTCTTTCTCCTTTCAGGATCAGACTGACAGCTGCAGAAGAAAATAAGTAAAGTTGCTCTTTCTTGGAGAGCTTTCTTTCTGCTATTAGCTATATAAAACAACTGAGTAGGAACATAATTATATTCAGTAATTCCTGCATTCTTACTCAGTTTCATTCTCAAGCTGGCATTATAGGTAAAATTCTTATATGTACCAGTCTGGTTCTTTTTAGTTCCTTCCACAGCTGCTAATGCCAGTGATAACCAGGTGAGGAGGACTGACTATTGCTTTGTTCATCCCAGAGTAATGTTTGTCATGTTATAATGCATATATATACTTTGGAGGTGGTATGGGTAATACCCAGCTCACTTTGTCTATTAATATTAATAGGTGTTTTATTTTTATTTTGTCTTCCACAAGAATATGGGTTCAGTTTTCTTCAAAACTCTTATGATAAAATGGTTTATTTCTCTTCAAAAAAATGTATATAAATAGTACACATATGAGGTTTCCTTTTGTTGATATGCTCAAATGATGTCATTGTTACAGGCATTAGTCAACAATCCCAAAATTAAAGTAGTAGATGGGAAGTATGCCTTCAAGCCCAAGTACAACTTGAAAGATAAGAAGGCCCTACTTAGGCTCTTAGATCAGCATGACCAGCGAGGATTAGGAGGAATTCTTTTAGAAGACATTGAAGAAGGACTGCCCAATTCCCAGAAAGCTGTCAAGGTAACCTATGTTTTCTTTCTGTGTCTTAATAGAAAAATATTTTAAAATATTTTTTAAAAATATCTTCTTGGTTTTAACTTTAAAATATTTAAGTCATTTTTAAAGCCTCTATCATCCACGCACACGTGTGTGTGTATATGTGTGTGTGTGTGTGTGTGTGTGTGTGTGTGTGTGTGTTTATAGCCACTCAGAGACTTGAAATATGTGTTGTGCCATAGAGCAGGAAAGAGGGTAGCCATCTTTGTGTAACTTAGCTCTCTTTTGTTGCTATAGTAGTATGATTATTTGATTCTTCAGAATATTTCTGAAAATTTTTCCTCAACGATATTAGTGTTCTCTGTCAAGTTGTGTTTGTAATCAAGAGCTCCTTCAACAATTCTAGTAGACATTGCATGAAAGCACAAAAGCATTAGTTGAATAGGCTGGCTGTTTAGGTATGCTGAGGTTGCTGTCAATAAAAGTTATACTGATGTATATTATATATGAGGAGCATGTGACAAATCCATTCTTTTCTTTTAGCCTTAATTCTTCTTCTTGGAGCATTTTTATTCATGAGTATTTTAAGGCAGCAAGAGATTTGGGCAGAATTTTTACCTCTGATCAAATTTATTATAGAGTTTCCTACTTTCACTTTCCGTGTGGTTGCCCCATTCTCTGTTTTCTGGTTCTTCTCTCTAGACACACTGAGGATTTTATTGAGTTTTAACTGCAGATTGGCTCTTTCTTCCTCCATTTTCTGCCTGCTTTTGGTTGACCTCAGTTCCTTTTGGTAGTTTGATTTTTAAAATATTTTAAGGGTTTTATAGTGCTTTCTGTTGGAGGATTGGTCCTTTAGGAGCTACTTGGCCTCTGCTAGTAGAAGAACCTCCTAAGATTTTTAACTTAAAATATCTTAACTTAATCTATACAAATGTTAAAAGTGACAGGTCACAAAAGTTGATAAATTATGAACTTTGAGAGCATGTTGAAAAGTAAGGCTACTGAATCTAAACTTTTAAGACTACATGTTTCCTGCTCCACTCTTTCTCTAATTTTGATAGTGACCAGTATTGTTATTATACATTAGACTTTTTATTACTTCTAAAGTGGCAGTGCTATAATCCTGTAATTCCTTAATTTTGTGATATAAAATCACTTTGATACTCTATTTTCCCTGGTTCTGTTCCCTTAGGATTACAGCTGAAAGGGTCATAAAAAGTACATAGTCTATTCTTATTTTAAAGCAGGATTGTTTGAAACCCAGAATTTCAATTCTGTTTTTAAAAATATAAAGCTATGGGGATTAGGGATATATAACTCAGTTGGTAGAGTGCCTGCCTTGCATACACAAGGTCCTGAGTTCTATCCCCAGCATCCCTTCAAATATATATATGTACACACACAAACACACACAAATATAAAGGTGTGTTCTATCAAGGAGTTTTTTGGCATACCTAAGCTAAATCCTTTTGCATTGTTTCTCTTCAGTTCCTTTTAGAGATGGAAGATAATTACTCTCATTGTTGATCATACAATGCTTTGAAGAAATGTATGATATAGTGCTAGCAAAGAACACAAAGGTTTGTGGAAAAGCAATAAAACAAAAGAAGGAAGAAAACTAGTGATTATTCAGATTACTCATCCCTCAGTACTTGTTATTTGGGGGTTTTCTAACTGCCAGCATAGTCCTATTCAACTAGTTTGTATTTGTGATGTGATATATTAATTTTAAAGATGATGTATTGAATGATCTATATTGTTCTTTTTTAAAATTAAATTAAGTTTAATTATGGTAAAAAACTTATAAAATTTAGCATCTTAACCATTTTTAAGTGTACAGTAGTGTTGAGTATATTTGCATTGTAGTGCAAAAGATCTCTATAATTTTTACATTTTACAAAACTGAACCCTGTACCTCTTACACAACTACTTTTCCCTCTTCTCACAGTCTCCAGCAAGTCACCATTCTATTTTTGACTACTCATATAAGTGAAATCATCCAGTCTTTTTGTGACTAGAGTATTTGATTTGATGTGATACCCTCAAAGTTCATCTATGTTGTAGTAGCATGTCAGGATTTCCTTCCTTTATAAAGCCAATTAATATTCCATTGTATGTATATACCACATTTTTGTTTATCTGTTCATCCATTGATGCACATTTGAATTAATTCCATCTTAACCATTACAAATGGTGCTGCTATTAACGTGTACAAATGTTTCTTTTGAAACTCCTTCAATTTTTTAAATATATATATTCCTAGAGATAGAATTGCAGGATCATATGGTTAGTTCTATTTTTAATTTTTTGAGAAATTGCCATACTGTTTTCCATAGTGATTGTACCATTTTGTAGTCCTCCAACAGTGTACAGGGGTTCCAGTTTTTCCACATCCTTGTTAAAACTATTATTTTCTTTTTATTTCTGATAATCATCCTGATGAGTGTGAGGTGATAGGTCATTATAGATTTTTATTTTTATTTATTTATTTTTTTTGATACCAGAGATTGGTATCAGAGACACTTAACCACTGAACCACATCCCCAACCCCTTTTTATTTTTTATTTAGAGATAGGCTCTCTCCTGAGTTGCTTAGGGCCCCACTAAGTTGCTGAGGCTGCCTTTGAACTCCTGATCCTTCTGCCTCAGCCTTCCAACCTGCTGGGATTACAGGCATACACCACCATGCCTGGAGGTCATTGTGGTTTTGATTTGCATTCTCTAATGATTAGTGAGTTTGAGCATCTTCATGTACTTATTGATGGTTTCATCTTTGGAGAAATGTCTTTTCAAATCCTTTGTCTGATTTTTGAATTGGGTTGTTTTATTGTTGATTAGTTGAGGGAGTTCTTCATATATTCTTGATATTAATCTCTTCACAGACACATGATTTTCAAATATTTTCTCTTATTGTGTAGGTTGCCTTTTCATTCTGTTGATTGTGTTCTTTGGTGCATTTTTTTTTTTTAATTTGATGTAGTCCCATTTATATATATTTTTTACTTTATTGCACATGCCTTTGGTGTCTAAATCTAAATCTAATGCCATGAAACTTTCCCCTATCTTATTCTATGAATTTTATAATTTGGGTCTTAAGTTTAGGTCTTTAATCCATTGAGAGTTTATTTTTTGTTTAGGGAGGTAAGATAAGGATTCAACTTTATTCTTTTACATGTGGATATTCAGTTTCCCTAGCACCATTTGTTGAAGCCGCTCTCCTCTTCCCATTGAGTGGTATTGGCACTCTTGTTGAAGATCATTTAACCATGTATACAAAGGTTTATTTCTAGGCTCTTTATTCTGTTTCATTAGTGTATATATGTCTGTTTTTATGCCAGAGCTACAATGTTTATTTACTGTAGGTTTGTGGGTTTTTAAAAATTTTATTTATAGTTAGACATAATAACTTTATTTATTTTTATGTGGTGCCTCACACGTGATAAGCAGGTGCTCTACCACTGAGCTACAACCCCAGCCTTTGTGATATCTTTTGAAATCAGGAAAAGTGAGATCTTTAGTTTGGTTCTTTTTCAAGGTTGGTTTGGCTATTTGGGGTTCCTTGATATTTCATATAAATTTTTGGGTGGATTTTTCTTTGTCTGCAAAAAGTGTTAGTGGGATTTTGATGGGGAATACATTGGGTCTGTAGATCACTCTGGGTCGTATTGACATCCCAACAATATTAAGTTTACCAGTCCATGAACATGGAAGTCTGTTGATTTAATTGTAACTTCCTCAGTTTCTTTCAGCAGTATCTTCAGTACAGTCATAACCATTTACCACTTGGGTCCCATGGACTTAATTCTATCATTTTTAAATATTTAAAGTCATTTTATGAATATTTTTAAAAAGTACAGTTTCATCATACATTTTAATAAGAATTTAGCATGTTGGTATAGCATGTCCTTAGCATATATGAAGTCCTGAGTTCAATCCCAGCACTACCAAAAAGAAAAAGGGGGGGGGGGGGCGGAGAGACTCTAACATAACAAACATCTGTTAAATTTTGGCAAATGCACATCAAAAAGAAGAAAGAATATTATAATACATCCTTTTATCAGAGTGAGACGTAAAGATTCTTATCATAAAATATATTGTATGCTGACGTTTATTCTGTTGAATAACTGGATGAGAATACTTTGTTTTTTCCTTAGAAGTATCTCATTTACTCATTTACTTTTGTTTTGTTTTTTTGGTACCAGGAATTGAACCTAGATGTGCTTAATCACTGAGCCACATCCCCAGCCTTTTTAAAATTTTTTATTCTGAGACAGGGTCTTGCTAAGTTGCTGAGGCCCTTGTTATCCTCTAGCCTTATCCTCCTGAGCCACTGGTAGTCATGCACTACCATGTCTGGCCATTCATTGATTCTAAAGATTGAGATGATTTATGTGTGGTGTTATCATCTAAAGACTTTATTTCTGTGATGAATTTCATTAGATAGCAGTCTAGAATGCTGCTAACTGGCTTTTTGAATTCATATTCTGATTCATCTAATAATAGTAAAATATCCTCTGTCAGTTTTCTTGTTTTTCCTCTTGTAGGAGATACAGAGTTCTGAGTTGTTAAATTTGGTCAATGAAAGCTAAAGGACAGCAGAGCCTCTTCCAGTATTTCAATCTTTCAGAGATTTCTTCTTTCTTTCTTTTTTACTTTTTTTTCCATTTTTTGAGACCCGGTCTTCCTATATCACCTAGGTTGGCCTTGAATTCTTGGGCTCAAATGGTTCTCTACCTTAGCCTCCCAGGTAGCTGGAATACAGGTGTGCGCCACCACACCTGGCTTATAGTAAGCTTCTTAAAATAATTGTAGAATGTGGGCAATGCCATAAGAATGATTATTCTGCTTTGCCTCATACTTCTAGATGAGTTAATCACCCTTCCATTTTCATATTTTAAAATGCTTTTTAAAAACATAAGTAGAAATAATTGATTGGTAATAATGAGTAAGCAGCAAAATATTTCAAGGTAGAGGAAAAGTAAGAACACAAAGACCCCATAGTGTATCTTGTATTAATAAAAGGGTCCAGTGGGTCCAAATGGTAATTAAGTTTTATTCCATTAACATTTTTTTTTCTTTTTGTTCTTTGGACTCACAAAAGGTTTTAAAATATCAATCCTTAAAAATAAAACTGTTCAAGAAAGAGACTCAAAGAGGGTTTGAAACTGGGTCCAGAATTCTTTTTTGTACACAATTTTTTTTTTTTTTTTTTTTTTTGTGCAAGGTAATGTAGAATTTACTGAAAAATCTTTCTTTATCTTTAAGGCTTTAGGGGACCAGATACTGTTTGTAAATCGTCCTGATAAGAAGAAAATACTTTTTTTCAATGATAAGAGCTGTCAATTTTCTGTAGATGAAGGTGAGCCTTTTCTTTTTACTTTTTTAGTTTGTAAGTACATGGCAATTTTAGTGTGATAAAATTTATAATATTCATAATACAGTTATAATTTAAATGTTACTGCTTTCTTAGCATTATCTTAGAATATAGCTAAAGGACATTATGTTTAATATGTTGTTTCTTAGAATGCAATTCAAAATGTTATTTAAAAGATTTTAGGTTAATTGTACTTGCAATCACAATATAACAGTTCATGGTTTCTTGTTTATTGCTCAACTGTACCAAATAGGTATTTATTTTTCTATGTCTGTAGTTTTACAAATGTCACTTCATATCTCAATAAGAAAGCTTGATGCAGGATGCATAAAAGAACAAACTTACGTTGGTGACTGGTATTTTCTTAACTTATGAATTTTCAGTTATCACATTGGATGAGGAAGAAGATAATTTTTTCTTTTCTTTCTGGAAGATGTACAGTTGGGTACTAAGCTATGTTGTTTTGGATTTTTGTTTCAAATATTTGGAGGCAGTATTGGTTGTGTAAAAGATAACTGAAGATGTTTAGTGAAAATAAATTTTCTTCACAGATTCAAGCAGAAATTCCCATTTAAACAAATACGGGGGTAATATACTGTAATTTGTATTGCTTTTGAATTGTTGTAAAATGACAAGAAATGAATCTGAATGTAATTATAAAATTTAAAAGTAATATGAACCTTCAGTAAAGTATTCTAACAATATAGAAATAACATAGAGAGGGCTGGGGTTGTGAGGTAGAACGCTTGCTTAGGACAGGTGAGACCCTAGGTTCGATCCTCAGCACCACATAAAAACAAATAACAACACATAAATAAAGGTTAAATTCTTTTTTTTTTTTTTT